CTAAATATCATTAATTTAGATTACGATAATTATATTATGAGAAACTGAGGTATTCTCCAACCTTGCGGGAAAAACAGTTCTGCTAAATCAAATGGTTTAGGTATTGACTATAACGATCTTACAAAAAATATACGATGCACTTAGGGGTATTATCTAAAGAATGTGCTAATTTGTTACTCGATAGGATATACTTTACTCGACCATATAAAATGCTGAAAATAGAATAAAATAAAAGTCTAAAACGAATTATTTAACAACAAAATAACCTTGCACATAAGTAATTCTTATACAGAGATATTTCTCTTTAAGGACTACAGAGAACCTGCTAAATGTTGGTTTTCAACTGAAGCCCTATAGTTATTAATTTCACATTTATCCCGAAATACCAAAATTGCATGGTGGTTTGATGGTACGCCATGCCGCCCGCTGTCATGTCAGTCGCCATCGGGCGCTTGTCGACGATGAATCTGTGTCGAATTTTCTTTGCCTGTTCTTATTTTACTCATATAAATTGTCAGCGCGCGTTGCGGGATACGAGTGACGGTCCCCCACACCTCACCTCGGGAATCGCTTTGAAATATCTCGCGTTAAATGAAATTGATCAGCTAACACAGTGTGCTAAATTCTGGAGAATAACGAATAATGAAATTAGCGTAGTATAAATGAAAAAGTAAGATAATTCTAAAATACTGTTAATCCCGTTTCTATTTTCATCAAACATGAAAAGGGGAGTAAAGGTACTTCAGGATTGTCTCTTAGTATAGAAAAAAATGTTTCGTAATTGACATATATATCATATTTATATAATATATAAATAAATAAATATAAATAAAATATAATAATTGCAAACGATAGTGTAGGATTAAAGTTTGACACGTTTAACGTAAGGAATGACGTAGATTCGAAGATATGAACTATAGAATATTATACATTAACATCAACAGCTGAGAACACCATTCTAATAAGAAAAACTCTAGACTCAAACACTTATTTCAAAGTCTATGGAATGACTAAAAGTATAAAGAAATGCAAAAATGTTAGCTGAAAAGCATTTAGAAGTTTCCTTTTTATTATGTTATTTATAGAATTTAGATCACCATATTATAGGAGAGATAAACGTTCAAACTTTAATATCTCGAAAATTTTCTTATAAGACTCAGAGTACAGGGCAATTCGGCAGACCATATTGAAGATTTTGAGTTATGAAGTCGAAAGTTATACGAAAAAACATTTCGTGAAATAACAACACACTGTAACGTTCATCATTTGATATCTGTGCGATAGCTGACAAACTGCCCACTATCATGTGTTGAGGTAAATGCATATTTAATAACCTTCAGTTTTTGTTGTACCGTGGTACATAGACACTTTGTTTGTGTTTGGTAGTAGAGCATAAGTTCGAAACGTGCAAGCGTTCTCCTAGACGACAGCGGTTTGCATCGGTCTAGTATTTATCACCGTTAAGAGTTTATATTTATATATGATTTACATGTATATTTACATGTTTTGTGCTAAAGTGAAATCTGATGAATTATTAAAGGAACAAAAGTTGGTGAAATTACAGGCACATGGTACTTACTCATGTTTCAGGGTGACAGACGCAGTGGTAGTGCCTCTCAGATCTTTGCAATTTAAAGCTCTGAGTGGCACTGTAAGGCTCAACTCACAAAAAGGCTAAGGCGGCGAAGGCGCGTGTGGTCGCGCGATTCCGTATTTGCATAACACATATTTCTACCTTAATAATGGGAAAATAGAGATGAATATGCTATAGGCGAAAAAAATTGACGCGTCGCGATGCTTTGACTCTGCGCCAGTGTGAGTTGAGCCTATCTGACAGGCGTGTAGCTTACCATCAGGCGCACGACGTCACTCGATGTTATAAAAAAAAGTTGTTAGTAATACAGCCCTGCGAGATGGTTGATAAGAATTTTATGACATCTCACCCACTGCCGGAAAAAGCTAAAAGCCATAACTATGATTCACGATTTGAATGGAAAGATTTCTTTTTTATTTTCTCCAGTACATTAGTTTGTATCTCCGAAACTACATGTTATAAGAATCGAAATATATGTATAGTTAGAAATGTTTGCACTATGATAACATTAGACGTATATGTAAGAGTTTTAAGTTAAATTGTGATTACTTTAGAAAGTGTTGCTAAAGTTAATCTATTATTACTTACTATGACAATATTTTGTGCAGGTATATACCAAAGATTTCTCTAGTTATTTTTATGCCTACTTACTCATATATTGTTATTTAAATATTCAATAAATAATTGATGTCACCATATCGCCTGGCCACGACTTTCTGTGTTCTTTAATTTCTAAGTTAGTGATTTTAAAAGACAATGTAGTCAGACGTATGCCGTGTCATTTTTACGCAAGTATAGGTGTTTTGCATTTCAAGGGCCCTTAATACCTGCGATTCCCAGTTGATTACTACTTTTTAAATCAGACTTAATATTTGCGCGTGCTCAAGGGGAGGCCTATGTCCAACAGTGGATACATGTAAGCTGATAACGATGATGGTTTAAAGCGAGTACCTACATCTAGAGTTTAGCTGTTGAAACTAATCCCTAATAAAAAAACCGACCTCGAAAGTCATTCATCCCCTACTTTGCCACCCTTAGAAGTGGAGTGTTTTCTTCAAATTTAAGTGGGATCACATCTGAGATACCCTCTTTCCCATAAAAAAGAATCATCAAAATCGGTTCACAAATTCACAAAAAAAAAACAAAAGTTATCGCGTAACATACATGCAATATAAAACACAGTTAAAAAATCTTTTAAAATTCATATTTAAAAGTAAATACATTAGCCGGTTATTATAGCCAAAGGCACTATAGTGCCATAGGCTTCCACTTGAGTAAAGATGTGAACAAAAATTTATTTTTTATTTATGAGGCGTTTGTTTTTTAAATGAAACTATTTTTTCGGATCCAAATCGCGTATGTGCTTTTTCAAAAACCAAACCAACGTTTCGGGTCCTTTACAGGTCCCATGGTTACGGGTGACTGAACGATTTCGGGCTGTAAATGGTCCGAAACGTTAGTTTATTTGATAAAACAAATAGATGCGATTTAAATACGAAAAAAATAGTTTCATTTCCTATGTGTAACAATAACGATAACTTAAGAATTCCATAGACGTTTTTTTTATTTAAATTGTCTATAAAAACTTCCCGTAAAACGATTTTTACTAACGATCGTTTATTTATTAAAACTATATTCGATTGTAAGTCCTCTGTAAAAATAACTGCAAAAAGCTTACACATCTCAAACTTACTAAGATGAATCAATTGTGTAAACTATAGAATTCATGTGTTATTTTACCATCCTATTAGTAAAAAGCATTACAGTGCTTCTCTTTATTGTGTACTCGTTGTTGGTGGAGAGGTGGCATTTGCCATCTCTTGTTTGTATTAAATGATAACGAATTTGACAGCCAATACCTACCTATTCAATTATTATGTCAAAGAAATACAAATTCCGTCAATTTATTGAACCTAGCGTACCTAATCCCTTAATCTCTATTGATTAAGCGATTTCAGGAAGACTGATTTTTCTTAAAAAAATCTTTTTAGCTTTTATCTTGTCTCAATGATTTTAAGCTGGATAATGTATGTCTCGGTAAACTTTCATTTTAAACAATATTTCACAAATACAAGAGAAAAGAAACTAGACGGTCGACTTCTTCTAGGCTTAACAGTCTCATGTACCGTATTCAGACCAGTGTTGGGCAAAATTTAATTGTTCTGGCAATTAAAGATTGACAATTAATTAATTGTTAATTGCGAAACAGCAATTAACGATTGATCAATTGTTAGTTGCGAGAACCGCAATTAACAATTAATCAATTGTTAATTGCGGTTCTTGCAACTAACAATTGATCAATCGTTAATCGCAAATATCTACAATTAACAATTAATCAATTTTCAATCTTTTCAATGTTTTTTATTAACGATTAACAATTAAAACGGACAATTATGATAACTTTATAAGGCATATGGGGGTGAGTTAGGGCATTGGTTATGGGGGCCCGGTTATGGGGCCGGTTGGGGTCCCCGGTTATGGGGGCCCCGGTTGGTTGCCCCGGTTGGAGGCCCAGTTGGGGGGCCCGGTTTGGGGCCCCGGTTGGGGTCCTCGGTTATGGAGCCGGTTGGGGGGCCTGGTTTAGGGACCCGGTTGGGGGCCAACAGGCCCCTTAACTGACCCCTAACCGGGGGCCCCAACCGGGCCCCAAACCGGCCCCCCAGCCAGGCCTACAACTGGCCCCCCGAACGGCCCCCCGGCAGGCCCCCCAACCGGCCGGTTAATTACAATTAAAATCAATTCAATTGAAATTAATTGCAATTAAAATCAATTGAATTGATTTTTTAATCTGATTGAATTATTGATTGAAATTTAATTGATTAACGCCCAACACTGATTCAGACACGATCGATGCCAAGTTTGAAAAAAATAAATGTAACCAGTTATATTACCATATACTATATTATGTTAATTCGAGCATAGTAATTACTTGAGTTCATTCTTACATGTTTTATTAAGTCTCAAAATTAAGAATTATTTTTGTCGCACCATATTATAATTTGAAAATGAAAATGGTACAAGTGTTCATTTTGGCTATTGTAAATAAATGAACTCTTCATTGTCTACTAAAAATAACACTATATACTAATTGTTACGTTACTCACACAGACGTTTCTGCCTCTAATAAAGATGATTTACAAGAAACTTGGTATTTCATTATCTTCTCCATACAAAAAAAAACTTCGGCAGGTATTCGGGATACCTGTGCGTATATGCATACGCCTGCTTCTGCGCAGCTCTGAAGAAAGTATTGTTTTCGATGACAAAAACAAACATGCAGATATTTTAAACGTATGCAAATTTTATTACTTATCAATAAATACCATAATAAATCTCTCAGTGCGGGTTCAATTTTCAAGAAAAAGGTTTGAAGTACAAATAGATTAAATTACAAAAAAAGACAAAACTATAATCTTTTCAGGACAAGTATACAGCCACCTCCACCAGCTAATATCATTGCCGACCAAAGAAATCCAAAGAATATATCCTCGTACAGAGAACCTTCTTCAACCAAAGCTAGAATGTCTTCTAATTCATCCTGAGAAGCAGTCGTTGCAATTAAAACTGGTGAGGTCCAGGATGATACACCGGCAGAGTTTCCTACCCTTAAGCGCATCCAGTATTCAGTTTCCTCTTTTAGATCTTCTAAAGTGAACACGCCATCTGTAAGAACACTAAACTACTTGAGAAACGTCTTCTTTTCTTATCAAATTATTATATCGATAAAGAGATGCTTGCGTGAACCGAGCTTTTTTGATAATAAGTGACGGGACGAAGAATGACAATTTCAGAGTCACTCAAAGCTTTGAATCGCGAAGATTTGAAGGACACTGCCCTCTTCACACTAACACGTCAGTTAACATGTCCCCATGTATCTGAATATCACCAGCACTCTAAGTTATTGGTCACATTACTACTTGAGGACAGAAAAAAAAGGTAAGGTTGCACTTCTCTGGACACTCTTTCACAAGAAGCTCTACCGCTAGTGAGTTAAGTTCCACAAAAACCTTACAGGCAAAAAATACAATAATTGTTTTTTTTATTCAAATGCCTACACTGCAGAAATGGATGAGTAGGGCTTCGCTAACCAATAGATTGCTGTTTCTACCTCGAAGCACTGTGAAGCTTTCTGGTCGTTGTTACAAATTACGTGGATGTCGGAAGATATGATCCAATAACTCCAATAGGTATGTAAAATTGATTATCCAACTCATCAGCGCACTCTATAAGTTATTTTCTATGGTGGAATCCAATACGCAGATTTAAGAATGTAACACAGAAACGATTTAGTTGCAAACCCTGTATATACCACTGAAAAGTGCACACATGTTTTGGAAACATAAGCAAATCGTTTTTCTTTTGTTTTCTCCTTACCGTTATTCTCCACATCCGAGTCATCAAATGTAATTTCTTCCGCTCCACTCCAATGGACTTCCCTTACTGGAGTGAAACTGGCTTTCTTTTCAAAGTATTGCACTTCAACCCCTGAAGTCACAGAAAAAAATATTTTGTTAGAGCGTAAGCATAAAAGTTAGTTCTTCATCAAATAAAGGTAAATTATTTACCATGTTATTTTGTAAGTAATTGATTAACTACGTTGCTACATTCTCAAATTCTAAACGTGCAATGATAAAAACTTTATAACAAAAAGAGAATAAGATATTGTTAAAAAAAAATAATAGAAATGACATCTACGACCCTCAAATACCAATAAACCATTGAAATATTTTATAGATAGGGCATTGAGGATCTCGTTTTTTCAAAGTCAAGGCATTGCTTAATTATATACAACGGCATGTACAGGATCAAAAGCGATGATCTACAGCGGCTAATTAAAAAGAACTTAAAGGTATACAGATTGATCGTTATACTTTACTTAGCACTACCTGTTGAATAATATCAGTATAGCATTTTAAGCAGTAGTACTGCTTGCTTCTTACAATATGCAGTACAGTATCACAGTATCACCACAGATAATGTAATACTAACTATATAAATACTACTAATATTACAGATACCCAATCTCATACGAAGAAATGTCGCACTCATGACTTCACTCATTCAGACGCTTATTTTGATTCTCAACGTTGATCAATAGATGGCACCGAGTAAACCACCCGCGATACGATTGTAATAACATTTGAACAGATGGCAGCTATCATATTTTTGTCAGGGTTATTGCTCGTACAATTTAAAATATTATAGAGATTAGATTTAAGAAGCTGAGTCTGTACTTTTAATATTTTCAAGTGAAAACCAGTGTTAAAACTTAGTTTCGCGAATAAACTGAGTGAAATGCCATACATATGATTTATCAAACTAAGAAATCAAAAAGTAATACTATTGAGAAACCTTCGATTTGTTATCTTTCATAAATTGTAAATACATGTGTTTTAATTGAAAATTCCTAAAATATTGTTTAAATAATTTTGCATTTCTATTTCATATTTCTTATTTTGTATGACATACCTTAAATTTTCGAGATTAAATACTTTACATTTTTTATTTTATCCAAGTGTCGCCACCTACAGTTTTAAATATGTACTAAAGTTAATTTGTATGAATTGATATGATTATAAGTTTCACTACACCTCATGGTACAGTGAAAAGTAAAGTTGTAAAGTGACAAGCGCCATATGCCTTCAGTTTCACATCGGAATGCAGCAATTCTGACGTTACTGTTTGCGGCAGAAATAGGTAAGACAAAGTAGGTAAGTAAAGGTAGTAAGTAAGTATACTAAGGACGCCTTCAAATTAGAAGCTTATAAAAGAGTTCCAGTAGCGCTTCAGTAATTTTTAGTTCATAGTTGTGACTACAAAAGTGGTGTGCGACTGTGGTGCTGCAACTGCGCTTCTGTAAGCGTCGAATTTAAATGTGTCCTAAGTATCCCTTAGCATTTCTTACTTGAAATCAGAAACATGGAGTCACTGTCGTACCATGTAATGTTAAACTCTATTGTGTCCGATGTTGAGTTCAATATGAAAACCTGAAATTGTAATGGTTACTTATACGTAGTCTAGAACTATATTATCTATAAGTAACAAGCACAGACGACACATTTTAAAGAAAACTGAAAATCCAACTACTTACTGAATCCGGTCTTGAAGGTGCCACGATATTCTTAATAACGTAACTAATTACACCTTTTCCGTAAAAATTCTCCGCCTTACAAACAAACTTTTCATCAAAAACTGACGAGTTGGCTTTTAAGGGAAGCTTGGAGCCAGTAGAATTTCCATACACAACAAAGTCTTTTTCGGAAAATTCGACGAAAATTCCATTTCCGTTAGAATCCAGTTCTCTATACCATCTGAACTTAGGCGGAGGGTAGGCGCTTGGTTCGCAATTCAAATCGATTCTGAAACAAATTAGAAGCCAAATATTAAAAAAAACTCCCAAGTATAATTTAATCAGTTTTCAACTGATATTCAACAGCGTTCAATGATCATTAGATTATTTAAGGTAAAACGTCTAACGTGCTTTTGCAAAATATTATTAGATCGCTATCTAAAGTATTTCTTTTAGGAAAAAACAATCATTACTGTAATTTTATTTATGGAAAACTCATGGAAAACTAAAAAATTTCAGCTTTTTATTTATGTTTTTAATTTATGAAAATAGCATCCAAATATAAAATAATTATGTTAAAGTAAAATTGAAAAAAAATGTGGAAATTACACCACTTTTGTGCTGATAGCCTCAATTGTTAATACGACACATCTTTTTAATTTTATGCTCTGACCAAATTATTGCGGTAGCAATGTGCAAAAACATACTTTTCACCTGGCTCGGCAAATTTATATATTGTTTTATCGTTTCCCTCCTCAAATCTAGGTGCATCTGAAAAGAAAATAAAATTAGACGGAACATTTGCTACCTGCTAGTAAGTAACTAGGTATTAGTTACCCACACAGACCACGTGGTTACCCTCGTACTACCAGTAACAACAATATTAGTCAATGTAGTGCCATCTTGCATAAAACTTGTACACTGTTAGGCTTAGCACCGTATGAACGAAATGTCAACTCCGTTACAATGAAAAAGTTAGTAGTGCTTCTTCTTATATCAGCTAGATGGCGGTAGCCACACGAAAGTGGAAATACTAATTATATTAAGAGCTATCATGCCAAAAAAGTTTTGACGTTGGCGCCGCCCAAATTTGTGAAACAAATATATGCCTGAAGTTCGCGTGACATGCGACAGGAGATGTTGAATTTTGCGCATTAAAAGTACCAAATTCGTTTTAGCGGAATAACTCTAAAACTAAAGGGATTAAAAAAAAATACGTAGTGACAGTTGTCGATCATGCATAAATATAATTAATTATCTAATTTTTGTCCTAATAACCTGTAGCATTTCGAGGACAAATCGAAAAAATGTAAAAATTAGAGGTCATTTCGTGATTTTTATCTGTCGAGGAAACTTTATTGTTTTATGTTTCTGATTAATGTCTATGCTTGAATATATCGTGTACATACAATATTTTATTTTTAACTTTAAAGTGGATTTACGCCTCTAACATCAAATCCAAGATTAGGAATTTTTCCTCTGCTCCCTCTTAATGTATGTCTATCGGTGAGGACCTATAATTGGCTCTCCATTATTATTTCAGTTTTTACTCTGTTATATAGGCGTTGGTCTTTCAAAAAATTTAAAATAAAATAAAAAATAATAAAATATCTTAATTAGTATCATTTCAGCCGAAATACTGCTGGACATAGGTCTCATCCACCGATCATCGCAATGACCGGTTTTGCTTTGCTTGCATCGACCCTGATTCCCGTAACCTTCACCAGGACATCAATCCACCTTGGGGGTGATCTGCCTACGTTGCGTCTTAAGGTATACGGTTCTGTTCTGCGAGTAATGTGCGCCGCCCACTGCTTCTTTAGTTTTTTCAATTCTATGGGCTATATCTGGTTCTGTTGCTGATAACCTCATTTCTGATTCGATCACACAGTGAAACTCGGAGCGTAGCCCTCTCCATTGTACTTTGAGTGACCTTGAGCCTTCTTATGAGACCCATGATGAGCAACCACGTCTCGTGCCGTAAATGTTCACTGAAATGACTTCTGCCTTCAGACATTGTAGTATTTTGGCTCTTCCCAATCAAGAACCTTGAAGACGTCTTCCGTGCAGTGATGAATATTTTTGGAGAGATCACATCTCCCTGTCTGACTCTCCGCTGCAGCAGGATAGGCTGACAAAAAGACGTTTTCGTAGACACACCCCAATGTACCAATAGTCAATTTAGCACCGCTGGACGGACTGCAGTACAGGCTAGATCTCGATCGAATCAAAGGGTTTCTCGTATAGTCCACAAACGCTAAGCACAAGGGCCAGTTATTTTTGGTCGGGTTTGATTAGAACTACACGTGTCAAATTATTGGTGTTAAACACGATCAGTGAAATCGAGAATCGATGTTTAAATAGATCGATTGAAATGAACTTATATAATTGATTAATAGGGCCCGCTCCACGAACCCAAATAATAATATATTGGTACATAAACAAAAATATACAATTTAGTCGCCAATAACACAAAAATGTAAAATTTTAAAGTTTACCGCCAAACTATTTCTCGACTGGATGAGTTGATCGACTCTATATTTTCGATGTGTTCTATCATTAACTGAAACAGTGACTTATTAATCATTTGTGGATTTCAATTACCGTATGTTAATGGACGGTAACATAAATGTTAAATATTATTTTGTGACATTAAAAAAGTATATTATAATTATAGTCGAACACGTATAATCTAATCTTTACATTCTAATTAAGCTAAATTTTACTGAGTATAGGTAGCGATCTATTTAATCCAGTAATACTTTTCTATTTGGACTCTTTTCATAAGAGATATTTGGTTTTAGTTCTTACGAGTGGGACTTATAACCAACATTTTTACCAAACTTGTTTTTCATTGTAGGATAACTTTACCAATATGATGGGTGGTAGTCGTTTCGAAGGTATCTTACATTCTATACTCAGTATAGTTCGACTTACGATTCACATTAAGCGTAATATTAATGCTTGATTCATGAGAGCAATGCTCTATGAGAGTGTTTTTCTGCTCTGCTAAGCAAGTGTACACTCCTTGATCTTCTGCTCGGATTGATTTTATCGTCAGAAACCCTTCCAAACCTCGGTGGTTGAATTTCGTACCTATTGTGTATTTCTTTCCATCGGTCTCTTCTGAAAATAATTTATCATTATCTAACTATAGTTTTTATAAATAATGGGAGTAACAGAGTCGTCGTGGAATGCTTATTTATCAATTACGGTAACGCGCCTGTACTCTTTTTTCTATAATAAATGTATTGTATGATTCACAGAAATGACCAGAGTGTAACTAGATATTATATTATGACGTCAGAACAATCGATATGACGCCAAAATGTTTGCGTAGCTATTTTCGCTTATTATCCAACGAGCGACATTAAGAGCATGATTATTAAGGGATATAATCGGTGTACCAGAATCTCATGGCATTAAATATTAGAAAAATCAAACAACTTTCACCTGACTATGTTAACTTGTCACATGTCAATTGAAAATATTACTTGAGTCAAACGGCTGTCTGCTTAAATTTTTTGACTTAAAAATAACGATTTTGTAGCAATAATTACTGAGAATCCGCTTCAATCTCAAGCAAAATACAGCGTAATAATGTTTATCGCAAAATCAGCAACGAATTAGGTGCATCTAAGTCACAATTATCCAGAAAAACTTAGTTAAGTTTATGTTATACTGGAATGTTTTGTTTATTAATACTTTTAAATGTAATAAATAAATACAATAAAAAAATTCACGATTTAGCAGCGGGTCTCAAATCTTGCCGATTAGTAGGAGTAAGTAAACTTGATCTTTGAAATTTTAACGAAGCCAAATCAATGTATATGGTATGTAATTTTTGTTGCTACTGGTGCTGGTGTGGACAATGAGTGGCAAAAAAAAGGTAAATTGCGTTAATGCGAGTTACTTCAAACTGCAAACGTAAATAAATGTGACACGCAGAATGTTATTTATATTTTTATTTACTTTTAAAATGTGTCAGAAATTACTTACCTTTCTCACACACAAATTCATACAGATCTTAAAACATGTACGAGGAGAAATCAATTCTGGTCAATTAAAATATATTAAGTATCTAGTACATTAATTTTTCCTGTTATGTTGATCTTGCCCACTACAAATTTAAATTTGTCTAAGTGCCATCTGATTTTGGTACACCTTATATAAGTCGAACAGTTAAAAGTAAGTAATTGGGTGTGGTTATCTACCTGTAATAAGCTCATCATCTTTGTACCAAGATATAATTGGTTCAGGATCACCTTTAGCCTGACATGTCAGCGATAATGATCGACCTTCGTCAATTACCTCTTCTTCTTTATTTTCTTCAAATTCCGCTGGATCTAGAGAAATAAAATGCATTGATTTACTCATTTGCTCGAAACGTTCAGTGTTCAAAACAGTCTTTAAAACTGAAATAACCAAAACTGTTGATCTCACGTTTAAGTAACATAACCATGAATCACGTATTTTAAGAAATATGTTTTTTTTAATCTATTTTTAGTTAACAATATAATGTGATGTGAGTGTAAAAAAAATTTAAGATAATCTTTCCAATAATATAAAACAGTTACAGAACACATACTAGTAGCATTGTTTGTTTCCCCTAAATACATAATTTCTCATTTATAAACTGACATGACAGTTCACGTAAAATTTGAAACAAAAGCAGACTTCAAAGAATGTACAAAAACACAGCCCTACAAACACCATAATGTCACTTGTAGTAATGTCATACATACTTGTTATTGCGTTTAGCATTTATTTATCTAATAACAACCGGTCGCTTTGTTTCAAAGGGTTTCACATAAAATTTTAGTTTATTAATTGGTCCCTAGACGCAATTGGACGTTCCGTAATACGAATTTATATTTTGACAGCAATCATTGTGCAAACTAAACATTGCAAAAACACCGCGAAAGTTCAGTAATAAGTCTGCGAGCCACATGTACTGTTGTGACGTATTTCGTGTTTCTAAATGAAACTAATATTTACTCAACCCAACTCCAGTCCTCCGATCGTCCACACATAGTACGAAATATTTTTTGTTTTATATTTCGTGGCGATCAAAGGCAATCCGCTGTGGATTGACTTTGATCGTTAAATATTACAGCGGTGATCGTTAAATATTACAAAACGACAAATATCCCTACACGATCCATCAGTGGTATTGAGTATTGTCTCACCTATGACACACAGTTCGAAGCTGTCCACAGATTCTTTCGACCGACATTCCCAAACGCCAGTATCTATAGTCCTGGCATTGGTAATAGTCAAAACGTGGTCGACTGGTTTCACTAGTCGGAATGGTCTAGGATGTTCTTGAACGTATATCCTGTTTAACGCCTGACGTTGGACTATATCTCCATCGGGATAGTACCATTCCACCTGAAATAAAATTGGTATTTTTTTTACTTTGACACTGTACAATAATTATTCGGATTTCTGTATGTCGCAACTTCGATGAAACAGTGACTTCATTTACATTTGTAACTGTACCTGAACACCTTTGAATAGCTCTGAAATATTATACTGTTTCGACGGCTATGGGGTGTAATTCCCTTACTGTAGATTTATTCCCTGAATACAATGGACCTTTCAAAGGCGAGAGAGAATAGGCATTATTTAGGTATGCATGCTCCAGCGTCCATCTCAACGTCACTTTCCGGACAAGACAAAAAAGAAAGAATCAATACGCTCTCTATAAAAATTAATGCTTTATAATGTGTCTCTATTTTTAAACGACTGTAAAAAGGGGGAGGTTCTCAATTTGACTTTTTTTAAGTTACGCGATTACTTCAATTTGTGAACTAATTTCGATTTTTCTTTTTTTGTTGAAAAGAGGGTGCCTCTGAAATTTCAATAAAATTCGGCAAATAAATGTAATTCCAAGAACTTTTGAGGTCGGTTTTCATTATAAAAAAGTTATTCCGTAAAATTTTGTAGGTCATTCACCGTTTCTTGCAGCTAAATCTACGCTTAACTGGAGGTGTGATATATAAATAAGTTAATTAAAACTATACATTTTACATCAATTATGTGTATCCCTACGATACCTGCCCTAGCTGACCTTTTTGTTTTAAGAGGTGACCCCTGTATCGCGGGTGCCATGGTCACACACATAGATAACCACAAATTACGATAAAGTTCAATTATTTTACTTCCATGTAAAAAAATGCCTTCCCATTTGGTAGGTCAATGGTTCTCATTTTCTATTTTCACAGTTTTTTTTATAACACCAAGTGACGGAATGAACATTTATTGTTGGACATACCTAGTGCACACATTACACAAACTTTAGCGTAAACTGGTCACGCTCAATTTGACTGCGGTGCTTCAACACGCCTGCGGAAGGGAAGAAACTCAGGTAGCATAGGTAGGTAATCAATGTAGCAGCATATTTTTCAAAGTCTACATAATTTTTAAATAAAGGAAACATCAATACATCAAGAAGAACTAGTGAAAAAAATATTACCTTCTGCTTTTTAGTTGTACCTCTGCAATGAATTCGAATAACGTCACCAACTTTCCAAAATTTTTCCTCTCCTTCAAATTCGATGGGGTCTATTTTAACACTAGTGTCCGTAAGTTTTACGACTCCATGTACTGGAACAATAGTCACATTATGTTAATACTTATGTAATACGTAATAGTGTTACAAATGACCATGGGAGACGTAGACCACCTCCCATCAAGTGGCACGTCGGTTCGTTTGCCTTCTATTTTATATATGTTTTTTACCAAGTGATGGAACAAACAAGTGATGCGCCTGATAGTAAGAGGCACGCATGTCCATAGTAGTTACAATATCAATCAGAGCTTTAAATCGTTAAGATTTGAGGGGTACTGCCACTGCTCCCGTTACTCTGAGACATAAGTTGACAAGTGCTTGTAATTTCCCCAGCGCCCATCAAAACCAGAACGCAGTAATGCTCACATTACTGCTTGTCGGCAGAATTAAGTAAGGCGGCAGTAATTCCCTGGACGAACTCTTTCACTTTTCTACTGCTCTAAATAATAATAAAGGTCACAACAAAATACAACATTTTTTTAAACTTTAATTGGATGATTTAGCTAATTGAAACTCATATCTACTGGTATTATTCCAATGTATCAAAGAAACAGCGCACTTGAGTCAGGGTCAGTTGTAAGGGGCGACAAAATATATCAAATAAAAAATATTAAGTACGTTTCGTATGTTAAGGTCAGTCAAGTATTGCAATGGGTGCAATTAAAAAAAAAATTATATGTATTTACGCTACGTACCCGATTTATAACACAAATATAAGAACAGAAATATTAACAAAAAGAACTTCATTTTCTAAAAAAACGATTTTTTTTTACATTACATGCCCTACGAGGGCATCACTTTTTTCGTGGTTTCAGATCGAGGAACAACGTGAAAATGGTTTCAAACATTATTAAGTACGTAAAAATTATAACTGTTATTTAATTGAGCTTCACATCAAACATTATGGTTAATTATTTTGAATGCCATGTGACGGGAAGTTGGAATAATTTTTGTAATTTGTGAAAATTAATAAGGTCACCAAGCCACTAGGGTAGCTTCAGACGAATTGATGACGTAACTTTTACTGACATTGTTAATTCCCTTACCTTTGATGGCAATTTAGAACTGACAAACATAATATTATTTCATAAATATTATTCCTAAATTATGTTGATAAACGTAATTGCGTTGTTGAATCCAATAGACTAACAGCGTTTGTACCTACAATTTACAATCCCGAGAGTAAGAGTCCCGGAGTGTCTTTGAGAGATAAGTTTAAAAAGATTAACATTGTTACACTAGAGTCACAGTACATTTACGAAAATGTTGTTTTTCAATAAGCGACACACATTAACAGGAGGACTAAAAATAAACTACCTATTTTTCACAGTCGTCTTCACAGTCACAAATTCATTCAATGTATAAGCTTCTATAAAAGATTCCGGTTGATGTTCATAGAAGAAACAAAAACTTTATACTAAAGGTTATTATACAGCTTCTGCGTACTTGGATGACAAGAATCCGTGGTAGTGACCCGCCTAGCTCTTGCAGGTAGTCTCAATCTAAGAAGATGTTTGAAATAAATATTATGAATCTTAAAGTATTCAAATGTATGTTTAAATAAACGAGCAACCCCTAGAGTTTCTTGCTCATTCTTCTCAGGGGACTCTGCCTTACGAATAAGCTGTAGAGTTTAATTAATATGACGATTTCAAGCGTAATTTACTTTGTTGAGTGTGTGCGTTTACTTTTTATACAAATTCTTATAACACTACTTGAAATAGTTCCGAAGTTCGTCGCTAGATGGCGTTGACTCAATATGCGATACCTGAATCACAGTGTTTAGATTGTTCGAAATTTAATGACTCCTCATGAGTATTTTGTACTAATGTGATTTAAGTTATTATAAACCTCGCTTATAGGAAGCACCTTGAACCTGTGCCCGTCATTCAAAACAGATCGCTAGGGATTTGACGCATACTCAGCAACGCACTTGCATTCAACAGGTCGAATGCAAAAACGAGCGATTCGTTCTGTGTACCGTCTAGGCTCTCGGGTATCTCTCAGAGAAAAGTTTAAGGAGACTGGTATCACGACTGTGGCATCACAGTACATTTACTCAAATATTTTATATGCCCGTAAAAATATACATAATTTCAATAAGAAAGAAAATATCTATAATATTAACCTTAGAGCTAAGTCCAAACTCATGGTACCACGATTTCGTTTAACCAAGGTAAACAACTCTTTTATGGGGAACTGTATACGTTTTTACAATAAGATTCCGGAGCATATATTAAGTTTATCATTTCCTAAGTTTAAAAACTACATTAAAAATATTTTGATCGAAAAATCATATTATAAAATTGAAGACTACGTGTTAGATAAAGATGTATGGAAAGACGACATGGCTCCAGAATCCACACAAATTTGATTCAAAGTGTATTCCATAGCATTTAAGTTTATTTGAAAAGAGCAATCCCTAGAGTTTCTTGCTCGTTCTTCTCAGGGAGGTCAGCGTAGTGAACGAGCAGTAGCTTAAGCTTAAATGTGACGTTTTCAAGTGTAAATTTATTTTACCTATGGAATAAATAATCTTTGACTTTGACTTTGACTTTGAATTACAAAACGTAATTAAGAAGTTTTGTGCGGCAATGCACCGCCATGTTTTTTACATTAAACCATCTTTACGTGATACTGTGCGGAACACACGAACGCTAGATCTTAGAGGGAGCTGAGAGACGCTCGAGACGCCTCTAAAGAGCCTGCATTGCTCGCAGTGCAAGCGAAACGATTATTTTTTTTTTCCCAACATCCGAATTTTCGATCGCTGAAGAACATATTACTGTAAGTATTCCATTTTAATCGCGTGCCTACTAGAGGGCGCCAAGGTATTAATTGCACCCGGGCGCTACGTGGACTGAATGTTGTCGGCACTAATTATCGTCATTAATTCCTGGACATAATAAGAGTGTACCAGCTAGCCGAGCAATCTCTAGCAAACTTTATACCTCCATCTACGTACTATACAGATGTTTTTTTTTCCAAATATAATGGGTGAAGTGGGTGTCAAAACCATATTTTATCTTCCGTTATTTCAAAATTATTTTTAGAAAATAAATAACGCGAAACATTTTGGTTTTTGAAAACAATACTAAAGAGTAGTTTTGTAAAATCAAAACATTGCAAAAAATATACTACTAAATGTTTGAGGTAAGTTTAATCGTCCAGAATATTAAAATGCCTACTATTACTTGGTTGATGTGGTTTACTTAGTCAATAAAAAACATACCTAACTTTACGTCTGTTATTATATATCTATTACTCATATTGAGGGTAAAGATCACTGACTTGTGCGGATACCGTTTGGACGTAACAGTTTGCTCACAATTAAAAACAATAGCTTTGTCACTTCGCGTTATCTAAGCCTCGCCTTTTAAACCATCCATTTTCTAGTAAATATATTATTACAAACATTTAACCAGTTGATAACACGGCGATTTTAATGAAACGGAAATTTTAGATACATAAGATACCTAATTTCCTACTTCATTAACATCAAAACAATATCAATTTAAATCTTTAACTTTGTATACAGGGCCTCTGTTAGTGGCTTTCACGATTGTAATTATTTGAATCTAAATATAAATTTATAAAATGCTTGAATTCTTATTGTTACTATATTACTTTTTCTCAGCTTTTCTCGGTTTTGGGCAATATGCGGCCAGCCCTTTGAAAAGCATTTCAAATCATCCCGCTATTGCCGACCTGGTTTACCGCATCTTCATTTTCAGTTGCGGGACTTCTAAAAATATTTACCTAGTTTTATACAGCGTTTTTTTTAAATGAGACTTAAAAAAAAGAAAAGGCTCAATTCTATTGTATTTTTTTGTATGTATGGGTACCTCAGTAGGTACTAGTACCAAAGCTATCATGTCTGTGTTGTAAGGTAAATCATTTATTATTGCCAAAATTGTAAGTTACGCCCTTATGATATAATATTATACTTTTATCGAGGGACTTAGAGCCAATATACATCCGAGGTGATTAACCACCCGAGCTTTTAACGAAGATATCTATTACTCCGAGAAAACTCTCGGAGCCAATATAAACATATTGGCTTTTAGTCTTGAGTTGAAAACTTTAATTTTCACCTCAATTGCGAGAAAAAAAAGTATTTGTTTGAATCGTTTAAGCTCTAGAACAAATTCTGAAGTTTTCGAGATATTTTTTGTTCCAGCCAGACACAACAAAAGCAACAAGACGCCACGAGCGGACTTTGACCATCATGGGCGTCTTTCGAACAATTTAACGTAGTATTTAAATCTCTCGTCATTAAAATGGCATATACACGAAGGCACTAACGCGGAAAATAAATATTCTAGCGCCCCCGTCTATGCGGAAAAACTATGGAACTAAAACCGAGTCTAGTCTTAGAAAGTAACATTTTCGTAATGGAAATGACCCTTGACACAAGCACTTTTTTATTGAATTTGCGCAGCGCAGCGATCTCTGTGAAATCGTAGGTTTATTTACTTTGACGAATTATTATAATGTTAAATTATAATTATCTTTTTTTGTTTCTGTAATTGTTTTTAAGTGTTGGTTTATTTGTAATTACTTATATTGTTCATAAACTTTTACCTTTTGGCACAAACTAGAGCAAGTATTTGCTGTTTGAGTTTGTCTGGATCACTTGAAGTAAATTAAAAAACTTAGTAATTTTTACTCCCCAGGAAAAATATGATGCACTTTACTCCCGCTACGTAAGTCTATATTAACTTACGTTTAGAACATGACAAATGAAAAACACAATTTAAATGAAGATTTATTAGATTAATGGAACTTTTTAAAGTACAAAGCTGCAATTTACGACTAAGTTACTCGTCAGTCAGATGACATCATATATCAGATATTGGTAGATTTTGGCATTTATTTTTGAATCTCCTTCATTAACCTTTTAATGGTGAAATAAAAAATAAACAGAGATCGAGAGAGGTAAAGGTCGCACAAGTACACTTAACGATTGTTGTGATCGTAAGCTGTCGCTTACGAATACATTACGCTTACATATACGATGTATATATATATATATATATATATATATATATATATATATATATATATACATATACATCGCGTCTCGGTTTGGTCCCAAAGGTTTGGTATCAATGTCAACCCTTCCAAGTGTCAAGCCATCATCCTTGGAAGCTCACGCCTTTTTTCGTCTTGTGATCTGTCGTGCGTGCCACCAATAATGTATGAGAACGTAGTAATTCCTCTGT